AGAGCCCCAGCACTGCTGATCTCGGGCTGGCTTCCTGCCCTATGGTGCTTCTACCACCTTGGTAACTAGATCTCAGTATTAAATTCCTGCAGCTGCTCTACTGACATGGGCCCTGTTTCCCTAACTTGACTCTGACCCATGCAAATGGCCAGTTACTGGTTCAGTAGAAACCACAGATTTACTGCAGTCTTCTAGTGGAAACTGTGTGATCCTTTTATTTTATCAAGAGAAAGATGTGCTTTCCTTGGAGCACATTAACTAAGAAAGATTTGGAGATTAACTCAAATTTAGATGAACTCAAAAGACACACACAGGATTTTATTTGGAAAACATACTATGGTTAAGCAGTATCTCTAAAAATCATTAACCTTGGGAGGTTCAATGAAAGCTGTTAGAATGTTCAAGAACAAAGAAGGGTCTCACCATTGTTTTTGCAGGTTTGTAGAACTATCTTGTGCTTGGGACATGCAAGACTTTCCAGACATTAGGTGTCAGCTCTTTCCGCAGAAATTTGGAACACACTGATTTGTGTTTGGACTTGACTAATTAGCTTCCAGTCCTGTAAGTTCCTGTACAACTGGGTTCTTGGTATGAATCTGTTTTCAGGTTTTGCTGCCTTATTTATTTGTTTCCATAGTTACTGTTATTTCCTTCTTTGTGAGAGACATTGGCGTTGAGTCAGGAGTCAGGTGGCAGGGCGGAGTGAGGAGAGGGTGGCTTCTGGAGATGCCACCAACAGCTGAACTGAGATGTTCATGGGTCTTCCCTTGGTGTATACTTCTGGTGTTTATGGGTCTGATTTGGTTAGAGGGTCAGGCCTCAAAAGTCTGCAATGACAGGTGAGTTATGATAAAATATAACTCACTGAGAGTGGAAGGAAAGAATCATAGCCTTGTCTACAGAAATGGTAACAATGTGAGTACGTTTCTATGAACTTAAAGAGTATGACTTTGCTGGATTCTGGAAAACACTCATATATCATTGAACATGGTTGTAGTATAAAGCCAAGCTCATTTTCAAAGTCTTATTCTGGGTCCATTTTTTAAATAGTTTATACTATCATTGGAAAAAAGAAAACTGGCCAATCACTGCCATACCTCCTAACTCTACAGCTAATTAATTACGGCTTCCCAGAATTGAGTACGTGGAGCCAATTGAAATGAGCTGCCCATGGGAACTATAGTTCCAGGCTGGGTAGAAGAATTCATTTAATCTAACAGGACTTATTTTTGTTTTGGTTTGGTTTGGTTTCTCTCTCTATTTTTGTAGCTGATTTATCTTAAGCTAGCATTTGTAAAAGGTGGGGTGGGCCCCTTAGAGAACCTTCCTTTACCCACATTTAAGGGGACTAGGATTCCCTTCACTAGGAGTCACAGATGCCCTACTCAAGGTAGAATTTTTTTTTTAGGTTTTTCTCCTTTGCTTTGCTTTATTTTCTGTGTATTTTGCATGCAGAATGGAAATATCAAAAGACTACCAACATCTGAGCCCACTGTTGGCATAGGGAAGGAAATGACCAGATCACACTCGTGATTGGTCAGAAAATGCGTCACTGCTATAGGGAGATAGTTCTCCAGGGTTCTCTCGCGTTTCTGCACGTTGTGAGGGAGCCGCCTACTACCCTTTTGTTCTGGACGACCTTTTCAAGGAGGTCATAGAGAGATTTGCTTATTATCCAGTATAATAAAGACAGTATCAGCCTTCAGGACAAAAGGATGGTTTGCTTGCAGCTCCTTCTGAAAGATCTGGGTTCCCTAAGCTCAGGGTCCTCGCCTGTAGGTAGTTCAGAACCACTTACTTGTAGCACCCAGTTTTTCATCTACCTCATCCCATAGTTGCTGGGGAACAGGGGAACCAATATGGTCACCGTGCCCATACTTCTTTCTGCCTGAACTCCAAATCACGCAGTCCTTTGTCTCTGACCCAGGAGTCTCATGTCTTCTGCCAGCAGCCAGGACACTGAGGCGTAGTAACACATGAGCTTGCGAGCAGGGTGAAGTCCCAGACCCTCCCCCCCCGGTCTTGCCAATCACTCTAGCACTACAGAAGAACCTCCTTTCTTAAAAACCGGTCGAGAAAGTGTTGAAATTCACTGGTGTGATATCTATATTTAATAAGAGAATTGATAATTTGTATCTTAGTTTTATCAGCTCATGTGAAATACTGGAATTTTCTGAATATCTATAACCGTTTATACAATTATCTATAAACATCCATTTCCCCCCAATAAAAAGGACTGTGGCTTTTATCTGGCCGGATTTTATCTGGTGTTAGAAGAGTTTGTGATTTGTTAGCTGAGCCTCTACCAACAGTTTTTTGCAAGCTAAGAAAAAATATAAATACTATCTATTTATCTGTTTATGAAATACTTTCTCAGTAGCCCCGCCAACTCAGCTGTTTTGGAGGAATTACTTTGTGTTACAAGTGGGATTTCTTTCATGTCACAGAAAGCGGTTGCAGCCAGCCCAGTGTATTTTGTAAGGGTCATTCCTGTCCTCCTGCTTTTTGTTTTGGCAGTCAGGAATTGCTCTACATTATTTTCTTAACATCCTTGAACTGGGCTTTGAAGGATTTGTAAAATTTCTAAAGGTAGCATTCCCTGTTTAGAAAAAAAGGGGGTGGAGGGAGAAACCCATCAGTACGATTTCCATGCCACTCCAGGGAGAGATCAGGGCTCAGAGACATGACACTATGAACACACCTAAACTGAAGCACCAGCCACCCTATCTGTCAAAGCGAGACTGTTGTCACCACCGCATCTTTGGGGCTGGGGACCGCAGGCAGGACGACTTGTATGCCCCCTACTCCAGGTAGGGTAGGTTCTGGCTAACTAGCAGGTATACCATCAGGGACTGGTAGGACCCTTGCAAATAAGAACAGCCTGGGGTCCAGACAGATGGCTTTGGGACATTCTTCTGGACAATGGCACGCTTCAGAGGTTTGGAGAACAACCCCTGTTACCCAAGACGCGGCATCGTTTGCAGATGCGATAAGCGAAGTATGTTACAGCTGTCGTCTTCAGAGAGAATAAGCAGGGTTTACTCCCTTTACTACCGATGTCAGTATAACTCGGTGGTTCTCAAATGTGTGGTTTTCAGAGCAGTGGTAAAAGCATCACCTGCCAGCGTGGTAGAAATGCAAATCATGGGCCCCCTTTGGCACTACTGAATTAGAAAACTCTGGTGTGGGGTCCAGCAACATCAAGCGTAACACCCGCCCCCCCCAGCCAAGTGAGTCTGGTACACCTGGTGTTTGAGAGCCACAGATGTTAGTCACTGTATCTCAGGTCAGAGAAGAATGAGGTTAGTTTAGTTTCAAGTAGGGAAAGAATAAATGAAGGGTAGTGCTGTCAGATGTGTGAAAGGATGGTGGTAGAATTTGTTGAATAAAACTACTGATTTTTTCATTAAAGGAATGTATATCTAATGCCCATTTTCTGCAGGGCACTATTAAGATACAGGTATGAATAAGGGATTCCATAATCCTTAAGCGTCTAGATCAGGGGTGGACCATCAATGATGGCTTATGGACAAAATCCCATTTTCCATATGTTTTCATAGGTCAAGTTGTATTGGAGCACAGACCTGCGTGTCCATCTGCATATTGTCTGTGGGTGCCCTTAGGCTGTAATGAGGATTGAGAAGCTCGACAAGGATCCACGAAGTCCCACAAAGCCGAAAGCAATAATATCTGGAGCTGTAATTAGAGGGCGAGTCTAGTGTTTAAAGGGGAACTACTGTCCATATTCCGAGTAGTTACACTCATATGGGGGAAGTGTGGTGTGCGTGTTCCGTGGTCCAGCGATACGCTTGTGTCGGATTCTGGCCGCAGCAGAGAACCTCACTTCGTGGACGTGGTCGTCGTGGAAGGTGTGAGGACGGTCAGGCAAGAGACAGAGCAGTCACAGTTCCAAGCACCTCCGCGTACAAAGGGTAGAGGGGTGTGCGAACACACAGAAGTAACAAGGGGAAGAATGAAAAATAAAAAGGGGATTTGGGTTGAGAAGGGAGGATATAAGCAGCCAAAAGAATGTGGCCTCCGTGGAAAGCTAAAGGGAAAGCACATGTGCAGGACAGGGCTGACGAGGCCGATCAAGGAGACAAGCTCAGGTGCAGAGCATCCCCCGCTGCTTAGCGGGGGGCGGGGTCCAGGTCTCCCAGGGCATCCTGGGACCCTGTGCCGAGGCAGAAAGCGTGTAGGAAGCGTGCGGGGAGAGTCCCGCTCTGCCACTGTGTAAGTCTGCGTGTTGGTACCTGCTTATTTACAGGAGTGTCCCCCGGTTCCTGACTCCGTGTTGCATCCTTGCTGCGTCCAGACTACTGTGAGCGGCGCCGTGGAAAAAGCACTAGGTTTCCCCTTAGAAAGTCTGGTTACGGGGCGCCTGGGTGGCTCAGTGGGTTAAAGCCTCTGCCTTCGGCTCAGGTCATGATCTCCTGGGCTCTCTGCTCAGCAGGGAGCCTTTTTCCCCCTCCCTCTCTCTGCCTGTCTCTCTGCCTACTTGTGAGCTCTCTCTCTGTGTGTCAAATAAATACAATCTTTAAAAAAAATAAAGAAAGAAAGTCTGGTTATGTCCTGCCTTCACCTCTGATTGTTTGACTTTGGGCAAATCATTTCATGGCTCCGTGTATCCCTTTCCTCATTTGTGATGCTGTTGCAGGCTCCCTGCTGCGTTCACATGGTGCTCCGCTGCTGGACTCACCGACCACGGAAGGGCACCGCCAAACGGGGGCACGGGGCCTTTCCCCAGCTCCAGGGCTGAAAGCAAAGGAAGATGAGCAGAGACACTCGGACCCCGCTACAAAGGGGGTTGCTGACTAGTTTGAAATGAGGGCATTAGCTTCCCTCCAAAGATCTGATGTGGTCTCATGTCTAACCCACACCTCCTGACAGATTTCCTCTCTTGCCTGGAGAGATTGGTCGCTGTGAAAACGTGTAGAGAGGGGGAAAGGGCCAGCTGGGCTCCAAGCCTGAGGTTTCTCATAGAGTCCTCATTCTTGCAGGAATTTTTCTTTAAATGTGGAGCGCACCCGACCTCCGACAAGGACACGTCAGTAGCTTTGAACCTGATCACGACAAACAGTCGAGACATCACCTGCATCACCTGTACCGACGTCAGGTAAGGCTGGGAAGCACCATCAGCCTCCACAGGTTGCTTTCCCAGTGACGGCCTCTCGGGGGGACTTCCTCAGTGGTTTCTTTTTCTTGAGGAGGGTCTGCGTTGCTTCGATGCCGATGGCGCGATGTGGGTGTATTTCAGTGCGATCCAACCGTTTTAAGCGCCTGATCCTGAGTGTGCTTCGTGGTCAAAGCTTCGATGCCCTTCCCCCATGTGGGTACATTTCAGTATCATCAAATTATTTCAAGTGCCGAATCCTTAATGGGATCAGTGGCCAAATAGTGCGCTAAAGATATACGTGAGATGACTTAGGTTTAAAGGTAGTGTAATCTGAAAAAAATAAGCTCGTGTATTAATATGCGTGAGTTCTAAAATAAGTTAAACCGTGATGCTCCTGTTAGGAGTGCTGTAACAATTTATGAACACCATTTATTCTTGGAATGTATGATCCATAACATTTTATTTTAAACCAGATATGAGGCTCGAACTCACAACCCCAAGATCAGAAGTCATGCGCTCCACTGACTGAGCCAGCCGGGTACCCCGACATTTTATCTTTAAAATGTCTTTTCATACACTCAGTTCTCCCACATAACTTGCCCTGTGTTTATATTAAGGCGTGACATGTATTCATACGCCCCAAATAAAAGCATGTAGCTAGTATGGGACCTGGTTACTTCTAATTTCAGTAGAAGAAAGAAAATGTGGAGCCACTCTGTTAGAAGAAGAGGGATGAGGACTACACTTAAATTTCAGTTTGGAAGAAAACACCAAGTAGGGGAACCTGGGCCCAGTGAATCTTCAGGGTTGATGGGTGAGAGTAGAACTCCTTCCTTCATTCAGATGAACAGGGTAAAAGAAAATGGTTTATTCCATATTCTCTGAGGTTGGCCAAAATCTCAAATTGCAATAGAGGGGGCCTAGCCCTGATAGCAAGAAGAACTTCTAATGAAATCCCAAAATGAATTAATGAATAAAGTCAAAGAAACCTGCTTGTTCCAGACTTTTAAGCAAAGACCTAAATACACTGAGCGTTTTAGCGTTGTGTCTCCTTGGTCGTGAGAGTGTGTTAGGTGGCCTTTTAAAGTTCCCTGAAGCTCTGTGATTTCATGGTTGGGGGTATTAATACTCCTAACATAACACTTCTGTCCTTTCCTAAATTTAAATAAAAATGTTGACTAATAGAAGCCTGAATTCCTTAATAGCCTTTGTTAGACAAACTTGGCTTCCAAGAAGGAATAAAAATGGGACTTTTTTTGGCCACTGCATTTTTAGTTCCTGCTGTGATAGGGAACGCCACTGTATTGCCTAAAACATAGCTTTCGAACGTCCCTTGGTAAGGTGAACAATTGCAGATGGCTAATGACTTCAGCACCCAAGAGCAGCGGCTTCTTCTGGTATCTCGGGAAAGGAGCTGGGAAGTCCTGAGAATGACAGCTTGACTGTCCGCCAGCACTGAGAAATTAGAATCACGTCTCAGGTCTTCCTGGGAGAAATGAGTTTTTCTCAGAGTCAGAAATGCAGCCTGTGAGCCCATATTTAAAAGCCTTCCATTAGAGTTGGTAAAGATGGCATTAAGATACGGAGTCTTGACCGTGCTATCGCACTCTGAGCATTGCCCTCCACGCTTCCTGCTGCCAGGCTCTCGCCTTCGTGTTAGTAACTCACAACATCCACCCAGAAAAACAAGCCACTTCTCAATCCACGGGCAGATAATTGCTGAAAAAATAATATTGTCTGTTGCAATAAAATTTTTCCTATTATTATTTTGAGGTGATTTTTAAAATAGAACCTACTATATTCAATTAGATTTAAGTGTGTGTAGAACCAACCACTTGACTGAATGAGGTCCCTTCTTCCATAGGGCAGCAGAGGAATAACCTGTATGTAAAACAAAGAAAATACTCTTTTCTTCTAGTGAAGGATTCATGCATAGGGATGTCATAAAAGCCTGCATGAGGACACGCCGATATTTTATGTTGTACTTTGCTGATTGTTGTGGTTTCTTTCTTTCTTTTTTTCTTCCTACAGATCCTTTCTTTTCTAAGTTAGAAGTGATTCACTCACAAAAAAACTAAAAAATGTTAGAATGTTTTTACCCTTGTGGTTAGTAAGATTTTGGCTTAATTCTTTCTAGCATCTTGAGTACGCCTAAATATTTGTGTGTATACATGGGAGGGGACTGTGCAAAATGTAATCATATTGTACATAGAGCTTTGTATCTGGCTTTTTCCACTTAGCATTGCATCATGAGAAATTTTCCTTGCTATGAAATATCCTATGAAAACAAGTTTTTTTTTTGTTTGTTTAATATTTACCTACGATTTCATCGTTTGGGAATATTCTAATCATTTCCCTATTGCTGGTGATTTGAATTATTTCTAATTAAAAATATTAAATTAAGTAACCCTTACATCTATATCCCTTTCCGAAAATCATCGAGTGCTTGTTTTGAATCTAAGAGTAAGTGTCGTGGAAATGGTAACAGAAGGTGAATGTCAATGGACATGTTTAATGTTCTTGATGCATATCGCCGAGTTTATTTCCATTTTAGACCATGACTGTCTGTCTTGAGAAGGCTCCCTGCCACATGTTTTCCAGTATTATGTTCATAGTTTTAGTTTTTGCCTCTTTGCTAAAGGACATTAATTTTGTCACTAATATTTTTATTGGCAAGTTTGAACATTTCTCTCTTATTCGCGTTTTCTTTTTTCTTTTTTCTTTTTTCTGTTGGCTTATTTGCATTTTCTGTTGTGAGAGAAAAATGCAAAACTTTCTGAGTATGAAAGCTGTAGGGAAGAATCTGGAAAAAAAAAAAAAGATTGCCTCTGCAGTTACTTTCTCATTCACTTATATATCAGTGTGTCCTTTGATAATACAAGGTTTTCTGACCTGTGAATGTTTGTTTCAACATATTTCTTTGGTTTGTATTTTGAAATACCGCATCTTTCTGGAGATAAATTGTTATTTAATTACAGAATTAAAAATACAAATTGGGGGTATCTATTTATATTTTATGTTTCTTTTATTTATTTTTGTATGTACCTTAATCACACATCATTAGTCAAATTAGGCATCATTAACTACATAATAGATTAAAACCAGTGGATTAATTTCAATTCCACTTGTTGGTCGCTGGCATATGGGAAAGAGATTGACTTTTGCATATTAACCTGGTATCCTGCAACCTTGCTATAATCACTTATTATTTCAGGAATTACTCTGAGGACTCTTTCAGGTTTTCTGCATAGATTATTACGTCATCTCTGAACACGCACAGTTTCATGTCTTCCTTTCCTATCCCATCCCTTTATTTCTTTTTCTTGCTTGTTCGCATTAGTAAGGACATCCGGTATGGTGTTGAAAAGGAGTGATTGAGTAAGGACCCACGTGCCTTGGAACTAATCTTAGTGGGAAAGCTTCAAGTTTCTTTCCTAGTTTTCTGACAGGTTTCTTTTTTTTTTTTTAAATCATGAGTGGGTGCTAGATTTTGTCAAATACCTTATTCCTGTGTCTACTGATATTATCATATTTTTCTCTCTTAGTCTGGTGTTTAGCCTGTTTCAGTCTATGATGGATTGTATTAATTCGCGTGCTGAATTAGCTCCACACACGTGGGTTCGGTCCCTCTTAACTATTGTATGTAATTCTTTTTAAGCTCTTCTGTATTTGGGTTGCAAATATTTTGTTGAGGATATTTATATCTACGCTCATGAGAGGTATGGGTTTTCCTGTCTTTGTCTGGTTTTAACATTAAGGTAATTTTGGTCTCATAGAATGAGTTAGGAAGCATTCATTCTGTTTCTGTCCTCTGAAAGAGATTGTAGAGAATTGGTCGCAAGATAGAAATTTATTTATTGTTGTGCTTTACAAGCACACACATTTGTATACAAGGAGGTTAACATCTCTTTCATCTACCTTCGTAACAGTAATTCTTAATAAATATTTAATAACATATTTCAGGATCTCCAGCACCACTAAGCTAACTAACATATTCTCTTAGGCCTTCAGCCTCCTTTTAAAGTCTGAGATTTGCAGTAGGTCATCTATAAGGCTCTGGCTGGTTTTAAAAGCTTGCAAGAGGTAGGAACAATGCTTGTTCACAGCTTATGAATCGATCGTATCATTTGAGAAAACACCTGTTTGTGGTCCTGCCTGCTGACAAATGCAGAAGTAAAAGATGAGGTTTTCAGTGACACTCCTTTCCAGAGCCCACATATGTGGTTGTGATATGTAAAAGTCTGTGTGTCTAACATAGATGTGTTATTCATTTCTGGGTGTCAGGCTTAAAATTAAATGTGGGTAAGTGGAATGTATTCTTTGAGTTTACATTGTATGTAAGCAATGTATTTCTTCCCTTAAAGAAGAAACAGCCTGAGATTTTATGTGAACCAGCAGCTTCCCATCTGCCACAGCCACACGGTCCCCTCCACTTACCCACAGCTGTGAGCTGATCTGAGCCACTCAGGGTTCTCAGCTCATAGTATTACCTTTTTGAACAAAAAGGAGAAACAAAACAAAGCAAATAAACAACCAAAAATTTGAGCCAAGAGCAGAAAGTATACCATTTGAAGGCATAATGGCTATATTATGTATTTCCCTTTTTTTTTTCCCCTTCAAGTTTTTATGTAAATTCCAGTTAGTGAACATACAGTGTAATGTTAGTTTCAGGTGTAGAATTTAGTGATTTATCACTTACCTCATAATTTTTGTTATGTATTTCCAAAAGAAATTCCATCAGAAAGGTTCAGAATGCTCCTGGATGCCTCAGTTTGATCTGGGAGTGACAGTACTCTGCCATAGGAAAATGACAGGACCAGTACCACAGTGACACTTGTGTTCCTTCCCTGACCCATGTGCATAGCTTGCAACTCAGCCAGACATCTGGTAAACCTCCCACCCCACCGCTAGCCCCTGAGGGGGGAAAACAGTATTTCTGCTTCTGGAAACTTACTTTGCAATGTTATCCTTAAAATTAAAATACAAAATTTGAAAATTAC